AGTTCATTTTCCTTTAAATTTTAAATTGACATTTTTTATTTTTTAAACTTTTTAAATTTTAACTTTGAATTGATATTAAAAAAAACTTGCTAAATTAAATAAAATAATATGCTCAATACATGTAAAATCAATCGTTTACGTTTTTAGTTGATTTCCAAAGCTAAATAAACGCGCTAAAAAGATTCATGGATATAACCTCATTCTGTTTAATAAAAAGCTACAACTCTCACTATTCTTATCTTCTTTCGAACAAAAGCGTGAAAATATTCTATTCTCGGTGCGTTGGACTTACGTTTAAAGACTAGCGAAAACCCTGACTGCGCATGTCTGGTAAACGTCAAACTTCACGCTATAAACAGAAAATTTGTACTGTTTGTGTAATTTATAGTAAAAATAGGAATATAAAACCATTAAATATTATAATATTAGTAAAGAAACAAATAGTAAGGTATGTATTCAAATTATCTCATATTTTTTATTACATAATAGTGCATTATTTGAATTTGAAATAAGAACTAAGAACAGAATTTTTATAACAATCAACTTAAGTATTTATTTAAGAATTGTTTATTATATTAAAATTATATTGTTTTGTTTTTAATTTTAACCTTGGCGTTAAATGTTGTGTTACCCGTAATGACAAAAGTAAATTGTAATAAAATGTGACTAATGTTTTTTTGTTATTTTGTTTTTAGATTAAAAATGACTTCAGGCAGTTCAGGAGCGGTATTTTTTTTAGGGACCAGAGCTCATTATCAGGTATTTATACTGATTATTATAATGAAGTATTTTCAAGTTAATATTTTTCATTTAAATATCTGTGAAAGGAATTAAACCATCAGTGGAAAGATACAGGCTGTTGACAAATATAAAATTGATTTAGTTTTATTAATTGTTATAATAAAATAAATAAAATATGTGAGGTAATGTTATTACGGTGTCACCAAAGAAATTTTTAATTCACTCTTATTCCTAGGTGTTAGATCAGCCCGAATCTAGATTCGATTCGGAGAACGGCAACACGTCAACGGAGACGATTTACCAGAACACCAGCCAGGAGTTGTGGCCGAAGCCGCAGACCAGCTACGATGACGTCGACAGGAGGAATTGGAACTGTGAAAGTGACGTCACTGGTAACTTCTTTTATTTATTCAAGTATACTGCGGAAACTTATGTCTAGAATGAGAGAGAAGAAAGTTTTTGTGAACATAGAGAGCCATATTTGCAGTTTGTCCCATTGTACTGCGTGGTATTTGGACGGACCGTTAAGAAGTTCTAGTGAATCTTAGTAATAAACATCTTTCTAAACTTTCGAATTTATAATATTAAGATATAAAGTCTCGTATGTTGAATCTAGGTAGAAAAACTCTACTGTTCATGATCTTTTTTTTATTATATAAGGTGGCAAACGAGCAAGCGGCCACCTGAATCCACCGAAATGGAAATCGACCGCTGCCCATAAACGTCCGCAAATGCAAATGCGTTGCCTACCCTTAATTGAGGGAGGAGGAGACGCATATAAAGAGGACATTTCCCCTTCGTATGCGTCTCCTCCGACGTCAAATTCACTTTTCCTTTCAATTCTTTCCTCTTAAGAAAAAGGGTGAAAAAGGACTAAAATTTCTGTGTGGTCGTGGTATTGCTGGGGGCGAGCCAGCCCGTTCGTGAAAAGATGTTAAAGCGGGCTCTACCACTCTTAGTTAGACGTAATCATTTATGTCTTTGTATATAGGTTTACATGTTAGAATATTCTCTTGTATAAATTGATTCGCCAAAACGATACATAATCTCGTTGTAAATGTAACATTAAACATATTTTCCTTCAGTGACGTATGAGAAAGAAAAACAAGAGATAGGTGTTGGAGTTAAGAGGAGAATCAAAAGACGCCAGAGTGAAGCTGCCCTCTGCGAGGAGATGCGCCCTGCTGCGCTTAATTGTCTTGCTGATAAGTAAGTTATATTAAGTTAAATAAGTAATAAGAGTGACGTGGTAGTAGTAGACGAGTTTTAGTGTAGATTTAATTAGAAAATTGTAATCAAATACCTACACGTAAACTAAAATTATATACCTAGCTTTTAAGACTGACAGCGTGGAATTAAAAAAAAGTAAATAGTCTATGTGTTCTTCCAGACTGTCCTCTACATCTATACCAAAAATCGAGATCCGTTCAGCAGTTTAAGCTGAAGGTTATAAGCTACAAACTCTAACAAACATCTATCCAAATTTAACATTTATGTATATTAGCAAGCAGTAAGATAACAAAACATACCAGGTGGTCGTTTACTCGTTACCTCGTTACTTGTTTATCTTATTAAAAAATAATAAAACTGGCCTGTGTTATTCAGTGATAACGTAGCTTTATAATAGTGAAAGAATTGTTGAAATCGACGCAGTAGTTTTTGAGTTCAATGCATACAAAAAATACAAAATACAAATCTTTCCTCTTTATAATATTGGTTTAGTAAAAAAAAAACAGCGAAAGGTTAGCCAGTACGTCCAAAACGCATTAAGTGGTGTGTTCGTTTATTTAGTAATCTTTTCCAGTGAGCCGAAGCCGAAGCCTCGCCGCGTCTCCTTACTGAGTTTCCTGAGCTCGTTGGCGCGGCGCAAGCGGAAGCTGGAGTCAGACCAGGTGCAGTATCTGCGCCATCTGGAGAGTGCACTCACCAACTGCACTTACAGGGAATCCTGTAGATGTCTTGACTGTCAGGTAAAATTAACGTTTACCTCTTTATATAGACATATAAGCGTTGTCAGGGGAAGCTGCAAGTTTATTTTTCTGCTACTCTATGACGCTAGGAGTAAAAGGGACGGATGAAAGGAGAATACATGTGGCGGAAATGCGAATGTTAAGATGGATGTGTGGGGTAACATGATTGGATAAGATACGAAATGAGTATATTAGAGGAAGTTTGAAAGTAGCCACAGTGGTTGAGAAAATAAGGAGTAAAAGGTTAGCGTGGTATGGGCATGTTATGAGAAGGGATGAATCGCATGTAACAAGAAAGATGTTAGTTATGAATGTGGAGGTACATCGGTAGAGGTAGACATAGAAAGAGATGGATGGATTGCGTGAAAGGTGGACATGATCAAGAAGGGAGTGATGACTGAGATGACGGATGATAGAATGCTTTGGAGGACGAAAACCCGGTGCGCCGACCCTACGGGAGTAGGATAAGGCAGGGGAGATGATGACTCTATTACGCTAGGTCTTAGTCCACAATTCTGCGATAGCTATTGGTAATAAAAATAATTGTAAATTAATACAAAACAATTATTCCAACTAATTGTAAACCTATGACAAGAAAAATATGGATTGAACAAGACCTCACTCGTCAAAATTAGTTCAGGCTACTAATTAACTATGGAATTATTGTTACTAACATTTTAAATGCGAAAATTAGAGTTTGTAGTCTAAACTGCTGAACGGATCTCGATAAAAGGCATAGATGTAGAGGATAGTCAAGAACACATAGCCTATTTACTTTTTGGTTATACACGTGAACGGAGTCGCGGGGGAAGTTAGTATACATATAAAAAAGTTTAGTAGAAAACGTTTTTGTACTCAATAGGGAATAGTCATGTATTTTTTTTTTAAACCATTATACTTGTTATAAAATAACCAGAAAAAAAATTGTCTCGAAAATATCCAACCATTGAGCTAAAAATAATAAAATATACTTGCAATTATTATGATTCTAATTGGTATGCTCGTATCTATAGTAGGGTCGAACAATTGATCTGGTTAAAACAAATTAGAACATGGACTATAAATAGTGCATACACGCGTACGGGTGAAGTGACCTTGCATTTACGATAATATTGCAGGAAGTTTGCTAAATACCACTGCAACTGCGTGTTTACATTGCACGAACTTCAAACATGATCTATGTCACCGTCATACTATGAACTTCGCCCATTTGTAATTTGTCTAATTGATGTTTAAAATACTTATAACCTAAAAGTTAGGGGAAGTTACTAATACTAAACAAAAGATAGCAATAAAAGATAGTGTAGAGTAAAAAGAATTTATTTAAGCCGCAACTATAACCACAGAATCAATAAATTCAAAGACATATTTTATGTTAAAGCTTCTCTTTATTTTTGTACAGCACCATGCCAATGTTATTTGTCCTATCACAATATATTGCATTAAAATGTACTTAAAGCAATTATGTTAACATGAAAATGTTAAATAAATAAATATTTTAACGTTATGTACAATTGCATTTGTATTATTCAACAAATTTGTCTATATCATATTCTAAATGGGTATCAACATCACTTTCTTCTTTCGTCTTCTTCCTATCTTCTAATCTCATGCATTTAAGACATTTCTGTCCCTTTCTGAGCCAACAACCTCTATGGTACATTGAGTTACATTTCTCACACATGATGGCGCCACTGTCAAACGGATATAAAATCTCATTATTACTGCAAATTTCACATAGATATCCTTTACCTGAACATAACGCACAATTTGTTATATGTGTTCGACAAACTTCAGTTAACTCTGTCAGCTGAGTTTCTAATGTACCATCATTGATTGCTTGTAAATGAGACATACTGTACTTCTTGTTTACGTCACCTAGTTGGATAAATAATGGAGATAGTAATAAGCTGCCTTCAACACACGCACATAGGTACCTTCTCATCCATTCTAAATCCTTTCGCATTTTATGTACCCATTCTAACTCAGCCGTAAAACTAAACAACTTGGAATTTACATTTTCAACATCTATATATGGCCTTGTCCAAGATAATGTTAACATTTGATATGCAATTCTTGATATATAACGTTTCTCCCAATCCCAATTGTGTACAACTCTCGCAGGGATCGGAGATAAATCATTCCAATGGCATGTAGCGCAGAAATATAACCCAGTGTAATCACATAACCTCGGTTCATTCCATGAATCTTTGAATGTTAACGCAGTATGACATTCCGCACATTTGTAATCCTGCGCTGAAAGACCTTTTTCCGGGCAAATGTTCATTTCAAATTGACCTTTCTCTGTCATAACTACATGTGCACACATCCTACATATATCATCAACACATTTGTAATGACATAAGTAGCCGCAGTCCGAGCAAATGTATGAACACTGCACTATACTCCAAATAACTCCACTGCAATGATCACAATACTGTTTTCTGTTATTAGGATTCAATTGCTGTTCAAAGTGATGACCTTTTATGGATACTTTGACTCTCTGCTCACCATCATTGTCTTTTAAATCCTCCAAACGCAACCTCAATTCCACTAAGTACCTGACCAACCATTTCCGCTCGTCAGAGCACTGAGGACTGTTCAAAACAAGTTCTTTGCATTGTTTTATAGCTTTTTCTACTTCTTCCCGTGTTGCAGAACTGTGGATTTTTAATTTCTTATTTGCGATCGATTTCGGCACGTAATTGGAGTCGTAGCTCTCGTCCGCTGAAACACATCCTGATGTGGAAGATGATGAGGCAGTTCTCGTTGTGACATCGGCGCTGCGCGGGCTACAGCATATTAAGCTATTGCGATACTTGGGCGAGTCGTTTGCCAAGGCTGCGGCCATCGTAATTTACTAATAACTTATTACAAGTCGCGTTGTAACAAAATCCAGTATAACATTGTTAAACACGTCGTCCTTCGATATTTCGATATGCAGTTTTTATATTCCAGTGCAAATATCATTTAAAAACACACATGTTACGTATGGCGACTTCCCTTTCCTTTGTTTGGAATGAATATTAATGATTCAAAGACGATTATGTGTATTTGTCATTGTTGTAAATTATTGCTTTTATTTGTGACAGTGACATTCGTGTTTGACGTTTGACGTATCTTTTATTTCATTATGTTGGTACTCTGTGTCTATGTTTCGTTTTACGTATTTTTTTAATTTTAACTCATGCTTAATAAAATGTTAACACATTCAAAACGTAAATATAATTTGGCGCTAGACTTTTTAGGTCATTAATTACACGTATTGATAATTACAAACTACATTGTTTTTTTTTTAATTTACAATAGTTTTCAATAATTCCTCGCCTAATTTCAAGCTAACTTTTATTCACAGATGTCTAAAAGGAAGTGTGCAATATTTTTTTTTATTAAATCTGAAAGGGTATTTTGTTACTTTTTCAGAGTCGATATTTCGAATGTGACGAAAGCGACGAGGACTATAGTTCCGACGAGAGCGAGTACACACCACGGTATTCCGTCCACCCTGAGCCAATTGCCGAGCATGATCACGTCGACTCTGATGATGAGGTATGAATATAAACATAATATTTTTTTCTTTGCCTTTTTCTCTTATCCATAACTTATTTGCAGTGATTACTAGTGACGAAATTTTATATATTTCTTAGGTATTTACAAACTCTGTGGCTGGTGATAACACATCGACTGATCTTCTGCTCGACGCCAAGGAGAAGATGTCGACCTCTTCGGACCCATTGGATGAGGAGGCGGGCCTGGATCTCGAGGTAGCTGCCGGCACCCCTGTGCTGCTAAACTATCTCCTCACTCATCCCATCACATGTGCCATTCAGTAATTGTCATACCAACCTAAAGATCTCAAATTGCAATTTTAAGGTCGACGATATCGTAAAGGTTTCAGAACGCACACTGATCTAAGATTCCTAAAATAAAATCAAGGCTAAACGACTTTAGACTTTTTGTATTTATTTTAAACTTTACTAGTTTCTTATTTTTTTTATTATAGGTAAAGCCCTTAATAAATAGTTACAAAACATTAGTAAAAATAAAATATAGCCAATGTTACTCAAAGATAAATTACCTTTCTGATGGTGAAAGAATTTTTAAATTGGTTCAGTAGTTTTTGAGTTATTTCAATACATACAAAAATACAAATCTTTCCTCTTTATAATATCAGTATAGATAAGTAACATGCAATGAGGCATTTCTTGTATGTCTAAATTAACACTCGCCATAAAAACACCAAAAGGGCCTACTTATGATAATATTTAGCTGCCATATTAGTCCGTTCATATAAATTGACTATTTCTAGTATTATTGGGTATACATTTGTGTGAAAATTAAAATTAGACATTTATTGTATTTGTTAAAGTAAGATATAAAACCTAAATAAAAAGAATAGCTTTATGCGACAAGCATTAACGTCGAAACGTCGGCTTTGACGCTTGTAAATTAAGTTTTCTGGCCTAAAGTGCACTAAAAAGTAAATAATTGAAATTTTAAAATAATTAATAGTTAGTCATAATCTCTGTATTACTAAAATGTTTTCCTATTTTCAAAAAAATCTTGTAGACTCTAAAATATCCATGAAGTATAGATAGATGAAATAAAAATAAAAAAAAACTTTTCACCTTCTTCTCTATGATCTATTCTAGTATTATTGCTACAGTAAATAAAATATTAAATGAAAATAATAACGTAAGATGCAAATGAAAACTACAGTTTAAATATGTTTTTGAGTTTTTTTCACTGCCAGTAATTATTTTTAAAAAGTCAACGAAATTATGTCTAAATTATTTATATAAGCAAAATGAAATTTAAGCATTAACCATAATATCTTATTGGTATCTAATTGTAAAAGATTCTATTATTTACCTACTTCAATAACCATAAGCAAGAAACATAAGTAGTTGCTTGTTTTTATTTTTTAGAGGTTACTCTATGACAAGTGCAATAGAAATTGTTAAGCGAAATATAATTTTATGCTCCAATAAAAATTGCGTATTTATTTTTACCCTTTATCCCCACTTAGTATGAGATATTCTAGGAAGTTTGAATGGGTGCTTGTTACTAGGTTGGTACCAAAGACGATGTAGTATGGAAGAATACATAGGTTATTTAGGTAACGTAACAGATAATCATACTAATATTATAAATGCGAAAATTTATATGGATGTTTGTTAGAGTTTGTAACCTAAACTGCTCAACGGATTTCGACGAAATTTCGTACAGATGTAGAGGATTGTCTGGAAGAATACATAGGCTACTCTAATGTTTTTGTAATGCCACGCGGAAGGAGTTGCGGGCGACAGCTAATAAAATCATAAATATGCTGTGCTTTTTGCATTTTTTAGTAGACAAAAATTAGGAATTTGAATGTAAATAAAAGAACATGTAGAAATCATATTTCATTTAATCGAGATTACATTTTTTCACACTGTAAATTTTAGATAACTTTATGTTAAATATTAACAAAATTTCGACATATTTGGTACTCGTGTATAATAACTGAGTAGTTCTACATTGCGCACACGTACAACCAACCTAGTAAGCACTAGAGCTCTCTTTAAAATGTTATGATTTTAATCCAAATATGACGTCATCGTGAGCCATCAATCACAAACGGGCAGTGTCTGTCAGATTCTTTTCCTTCGACTTTGTAACATTACAAAAGCTACCGCTTTATTCGTAACTAAATTTTTGCTAATTTATATTAGTAGGCACTTGCGAAATAAAAATTTTACCGACCGATAATATATAAAACGGCTCTTATTTCAACAATTAGCAATATTTTTTAAACATCAAACTTGCATTATTATGAAAGAATATGCAACAAGTACACATTAAGACATTGATATTATGCAGGGAAGATTTGTGGAGATTTTTTTCCCAAAAACAATGAGAACTTTCTTGTCTAGAAATTCAACAGATTGTTCTGTTGATGGGCGTTGGATTTAAATTTTAATTAATATTTATACTATATTCAATTTAATACTAATTATTACATAAAAGCAAAGAATTATATAATTTAAATATTATTCTAAGATTCTATTTGGACGTAAATAGACAATTTAGAAAACGTGCTTATTAATAAAAATTTCACAATGAAATGGGAAAGGAAGAGGAGTTGTATAAAAATAACATTGTCTATGGATAAAAAAATAAAATAAAAAAATATTGCATTATTTAATAGTTACAATTTTTTCATCCAATTTTTTCCATAATCTCGAGCATTGAAATGTATTACAATAAAATTTAATTTTCGACTAATTCATACTTATTTATTATTTACCTATAAAACCTTATAATTCATAACTTATATTAACTTACACATCAATTTATTAAAAATGACACTTAAATTTAAGGTACATTTTCATCAACTCACTTTGCTTTCAAATCGATAGTGAAAATCACCTTTAATGATGAAGTGTTAAATTTTCACAAAATGTGCATGAATCATTTTTATTAATAATTTAAGTCACAATTGAATCGTTTACACGTTAATTCGTGTAATCCTAATAAAATAACTAAACGTCCATACTATGCGAGTACAATAACATATAAAAAAAATAAGCGACGCTTTAACGCGAACTATAACCTCTTATGACAATGTTTTCAGTGACGTCATCGATTGTATCATGTTATTGCACACGTGTAGTATTCAAATTGTGCACATTCTATACAGGTACATATAAATTTAATACAAAGATTCATACAATTGTTTCTGAGTTTAAAATTTTTCTGTAAGTATTGACTTTTTAGTACATAACCTACAAAAAGACAGAAAATATGCATATCCAATTTTTAGTAATGATTATTGTTATGTCAAAATGTCATGTATTAATGAGGTATCTAATTTAAAATTGAGCAAATAATACAATTGAAAGTTACCTTTGTGGTTAAGACTGGAGAGTAAAGCAGAACATACTTTCAAATAAAATTGAGCCATATTCGAATGACATAAAGCTTAATTTGTCATTGCACGTCTATCGAGAGCAAACGTTAAGACGTGTAAAGGAAAATCGAGTTTTAATTCAATTCTTTAGAGTTCAATCTTATTTGACATAAAAATCTGCTTTGCTCTAACGGTCTCTTGACTCGACTACAGACAGACGTACGTTATTTGAAACTCTGCCGTAATAAGACTATTATATTGCAATTATTTCATTATTATGGACAAATATTGCACAATAATCACTTCTCATCTGCCAGCAGTTCTTAATTTAGTTAACAAAATCATAGACATATTCATAATTATTCAATTTATATAAATACATTGTAATAAGTTTAAATCGATGTTACTTTTAGAAAATATACTAAGGACATGTTCCACCACTGGCTGATAGCCTCAGATAGGTTAAAAATGACGTCAGTCAGATAAAACAACAAAATCCGTTATTTCCATCACTCACATTGCATTATTATCAGACAATTTAGAATTTGGTGGGACAGGCACTAAGAATTTCAAATTAAATTGACAATTTATTGCATTAATAAAAATTTTGGTGACATTTAAAGTAAAACATTTTTGAGGTTATTTTTTGTATGAAATGTTCATTACCGATCATAATACGTTTTCCCAAACTAGATAAAAAAAACAATTAAAAAACGCATTTAGGTACAGGCAGACTCACAAGGCACTTGGCAGTACATTTTGAGAATAAATTAAGGCACCGATTCATGATTGCTAAATATAAAGAAGTTAAAATAATTTTGAAGTCTGTAATTTTCCCTCCAATCGATTTATTTTTTAAAATCATCTGTCAACCCAAGACTGCCAACATAATGATATAGTTGACTTTTTTATTACAAGCAAAGGTATTGAGAACATACAGCTTGTTTTCATTTTCCAAACCATATTTTTATTCTTAATAAATTGTTACTTTTACTTCATATTTAACTCGATGCATTATATAAAAAGAACTTTTTAAATAAGCACGCTCTTTTGAAATTAGATGTTAAAAAAATATATGGTTTGGTCGAAGTTTACTGTTGTCAAATAATATTGTGACATTTTCTATTTTAGGTTGTTGTAGTTGAAAAATAAGCATAAAACTTTTTTATTCTTCTGCATCATTCGTAATAATCAAGTTCAGAATAATTTCTAAATTATAATTATAGTAAAAATTAATAGAAAAAATATTTAAGTTGTTTCTCAGTTTTATTAATAAATTAATTAACTAAATACTACATACTTTACACCAGAAATTTAATTTTAAATCTATCACTTGATGTCACGATGAATTTTCACAAGCTGTTGCTTTATTAAATTATAAATGTCAATAAAAATAAGATTTCTTAAGGCCCAAAACATTCCGTAAATTATAATAACATATGTTAACTTTGAGATTTAAGTAAAATTATATCAATTTATTAGGAAGATTACAGAATTATTCATGTGAAAACATTTTAACTGTAAAGGCAAAGATTTACACATATTTTGAACAAAACAGTACGATATTAAGTTAAAAATGATAGTAGAGAATGTATGTAGAGGCTTTATAAATTTTAATTGTATCCACATAGTAATTTGTAATAAAATAAACCATCATAATTGATTATACTTCCCTTTGGGCCGATTGAATCCATAGAATGAATTTGAATGGGAAAAAAATCTTAATGGGCTGTTTGATTGGTTACTCATTCAGCGCAAAGGGAAACACCAGATTATAAAACTGGCCGTGGTTTTTAAAAGTATAATTTTTTACCTTACAAATGTAACAATTGAGTACCAGACTCTTGTACTTTATTTAAAGTTTCCCGCCAAAATTACAAAAATAGCCATAAATGTTAGATCATACAAAAAGAACACACGCTTTTGAAAGTTTGTTCATAATTTAAAATTGGAAATCTATACCGTCGCCATTTTGTTAAGCGACCTAACCTCAATTATTTTAAATGAATTAATTCTAACATATTAACTATATTTCAGCAGTTTACATGTACCTTAAATTTATATTCACAATGAATAAACCACAATTCATTATAATGCTTAAAAAATGTATTTAACTAGCTCTTTTGTGACAAATGGACCGATACTTGCAACACAATTTTAAATTGAAAACTTCCACAATTAAATTAAAAACATAGATATATAATCTATAGATGAAACTAGCACAAAATAAAGAAAAAAAGGGGTATGGACGAATTCCTTCAGTGACATACAAAATGACATTTAGAAAACTTTCAATTAGATACTTTATCTATAGATTACATATCTATATAGGTTACGATCTAGAATTTTAGCCTAGTGTTTATAAAAACACAGTCTGTAAGCACCTCATACACCTTAGCACTTTCAAAGGCGAATGTACATAATTTTCTAAATTTGTGCGGCCGTAACATTTAGACCGAAACTAGATTAAAAATCCAGGGTTACCATATTAAAAAATCGAAAACATCCAAAACGAGACACGCGGTTTGACCCTGCATTATTTATCGTTTAGATAATCGACTTCCAAAAAGTTTTTCGTCTGTATTTCTGCTGGCACTAAGTTGGCAACACTGACACTTCACATCACTAATTTATTACTAACTATTATAATCCTTGTCGCATCTATCATCATGATCCCAATACTTCTGGTTCCTTGGGACTTCAGTCACATGTCTCCGAGGAGGAGTCTTCTCAGAGTTCCCTTGGTCCTGACTGTCTCCGCTGTTCCGTCTGTTCATTCTGGAACCGGTAGTACTTTGTCTGGATTCACGAGAGCTTCTAGACACGGAGCGGAACTTTTCACCTTTTTCTTCATCATCATTAACATTATCTTTAGATCTTTGTCTGGACCAGTTCCGCTGTCTAGTCTTATTGGAATCTTCTTTCACAGTTGCTTCTGTCTTCTCTTTGCGCCAGTTTTCTACCGGTTTCCTTGGATTACTGGTCTTTTGGACCTCATTGTTGACTCTTTCTGGGTTAGGTTTCGGTGGTTCCGCTGTATACTGAGGTACAAAGTCACCTTGGGGGGTGAAGTTTTGGTTATTAGAGTATTGGTTCTGTATATAAGTTCCATCGCCTTGTTGGAGATAATTAGGGTAGTCTTGGTAATTATATCTATTCGGTGGTGGGTAATCAGGTACTGTTACTGGGTATGTCTGCATTGCTGGCGGCATCACATTCGGATTGAACAATGGATCTATTTCCTCCTGTTTCTCTTCTTCCGCCTGTCTCCAGGAGTTTAAGTCATATCTTTTGGAGAGGCTCGTCTTAGCAACTCTTGAATCGAAGGTTTCTTGGGATAACGCTTGTTCCTGTCTTAGAAGTCCTGCTCCTGCACCTAATATCGGTCTTAATTTAGGCTTTGGGTCATCATCATGGTTGAGACTGACTTGAGAGAGGTTCTGTCCAACTTTATCGGTGCTGACATCAGAGCTATCAGATCTGTAGTCTTCTTTTTCTGGGCTCTTCTTCCAGGATCCGTAGCTGACTTCGCTGAAGCTCTCCTCGTTGCTGAGGTCTAGATGTGCAGCGTAGAACTGCTGCAGCGTGTTGGGGAGGGGCAGGAACTTGTTGAGGCAGAGATCCGCTGATAGAAGTAGCCAGATGATGTTGACGGGTGGTGGTGTGAGTAGACGGAGTTTTATAGATATAGACAGCTCGTCTAGTTCATGTGACATAACGGAGAGAAGTTCTCGACCGTTCTGCATGAGCTGGAATTGAAAACAAGTCCACATAAGTATTTATATAATCAAACTAGCTTTAAAGAGCAGCACGATGGAATTGACATGTCTTTCACAAGACAAAAATCCTTTACCTAACAAAGATTTTAAAAAAACTAGCTTTCGCCCGCGACTCCGTCTGCGTGGAATTAAATTTAAAAAGTCGTTAAGTTAAAGTTGGCTTACGTACACTACTAACTTAACTAACTTACTCGAAACTGTTTCTAATTACTTATAGTTACTTTGTGCTACAGTAATTATGTTTTTTTATGCTACAAACAAACCTAAGTTCCCTTTAGATTTGAAAATACAAATTTATATCAGCTAGTTCTCAGGCAATTTAAAACAACATTAATTACACCTTTTGCCCGCGATTAGTCGTTTAAAAAATGTTATGTGCGTCTTCTAGACTATTCTCTACATATATAACAAATTTCATGCAGATCCATTCTGCAGTTTATGCTACAAACTCTAACAAACATCCATCCATCTAAACTTTCGCATTTATAATATTAGTATGAATACTATATTAATATTAAATGTATATTATTATTATCTCTCATATCTTTATTTTCTTATTTTTATATATAATATATTTCACATGATTTTTCGTTTTAAAATAACAAAATAAAACATAATATAAAAAAAATAGAGCACCACCGGCTGCGGAATCCGACGACTCAAGCAACCAGTGGTCAGGGCTGCAGAGACAGGAACCTCCTCACTATTCGTGCGGTTTCTAGAATAACCGCCTTTTGTATCAGGCCCTTAATCCAACTGTCTAGCGAGAGCTTCTTATTATTATTATAATACCTGTGTTGCCAGACTGCGGTGTGCCCGGACGTCGTCAGAAGCGAGTAGTGCGCGCATATACTGCAGCAGGGGACTGGCAAGTATATGCACTTTGTTGCCATTACACAGACGAGCCTCTAAAATATTAAACACAATGAATATTTAGTCTGATAAGTAAAAAGAAATTGCAAAAAAATATACAGAGTAAATTACACTTAACATCCCTCGATTTAACGACAAACTCCCTAAAGCGTCGAAATAATAAACTTTGGTTGGTTTAGCTTGTCTTCCATACAATAATACTCTACATAGCATTCGTCCACTCTTCATAACGTACATAATTGAGTAATAAAAAGTACC